TGCGAAAAATCACTTCACATTCGACATAAAACTCTTCCTTCAAATCACCCTTTATGCGCTACTTCATATAACAACATCGGTAATCTATATGACAAGACGGGAGACTATTCCAAAGCACTTTCGTATTACGAAAAGGCACTTGATATCCGACATAAAACTCTTCCTTCAAGTCATCCTTCATTGGCTATTTCATACAACAACATTGGTTGGGTATATAACAACATGGGAGAATACTCTAAAGCACTTTTATCTCACGAAAAAGCACTTGAAATTCGACATAAAACTCTTCCCTCAAATCACCGTTTATTGGCTGCGACATGTAGCAACATCGGTAGTGTGTATTATAAGATGGGAGAGTACTCGAAAGCACTTGCATCTCACGAACAAGCACTTGAAATTGGAACAAAAACTCTTTCGTCAAATCATCCTGATTTGGCTCCTTCATACAACAATATCGGTTTGGTGTATTACAATATGAATAACTATTCGAAAGCACTGTTATATTTTGAATGTGCTCTGGACATATTCCAACGTGTATTACCTCCAACACATCCAAGTATTGAAAGTGTGAAAGAGAGTATTGAAATTTTAAAAAAGAAATTATAAAGAATAACTGATAAATAAATAAAAAAATATTTTGTTCACTTGTTTCTGAATGAATTCTAGTTTGTAGTGACCCGTGCGCGAGTACAGAGAACAACTATGTGAATAATAAAAACAATGAACAAAGCCGACTGATAAGATAATACACAGACATATGCATGTGCATAAATGATCTTCTCAAATATATTTACATGTCTAATTCTTTACGAGTGTTCCGTATCAAATTTGTGTATATTTGAATAATGATAACAAAAACAAGTGTTTCAGACAAAATAACAGCTTTCATTAAGAAGTTTACAGTTTGAACGATGTAAACAAAGATTAATCAGAGTAGTTCTCATTGAATAGATGCACGATTGTTTATTTTGAGTGCGGTAGGAACATTTGTCGGATGAATAGTACGTGGTGGTTGTCGAAATTGTATCATTTTGATGAATTTTTTTCTGAGTTCTGGTAATGATCCAATAGAAAATATTGGAAAAAGAAGTAAAGTATAATAAGAAGCATACGTCATACGTGATAAAAATTCAGCTCCAACGTCATTGGATACACCACATAGCTGAAGAAATATAATAAACATAGAGGGAAATGGTAAAATCAGATAAAGACATGAAATAATCAATACTTGAAATGTCATTTTTCGATATTGTCGCCAATGCATCTGTCGATGAGTATGATATTTTTGCCATACAACACGTAATAACAGAACTATACTCGAACCAACGACAATGAAAGTAGGTAATATTGCATTAACTATTATCTCATACATGTAAAGTGTATTATTTTCATAAGCACAATGAAATAAACTTGGTCCAGTTATATCATCGATATCATCCTTACATTGTGAAGCAAAAAATATTATTGTATAATACAATAAACAATAAATAAATATTATAATTGGTGGAAAATAATGTATAAAAAAACGTTTATTTCTTGTAGTTATTAATTGATCATGAAAAATGAGAATATGCCTTTCAATTGTAGTCCAAGCATATAGTATAAGTTCAAGAGCATAAACTCCCCAATCAATATATCCCCAAAAAAGACGAAAGCTAAGTGTTGATGAAAAAGATTCAAAACAACGAAAATAATGAATATATATACATATGTCTGTACATTCATAAAATAGATTAATTATAAGAAGAATAATTATGACATAATTATGAAATGGTTTTCGAAGATTTTTATCATGAAGAAAATGATATAAAGCAAATAATGACGCACTAATCGATGGAATAATTAAAAGAAGAAATACCCAAAATTGAATCAAATAAAATTGTCGTGTATCATCATCATACAATGATATATCATTAAAAGATGTATTGTCGATGATTGACATTATTGAGAGAAAATGAATATAAATAATATTAGCATGAGATAATAATATACACTGCCTTTTTTTCTCTGTCTATATATTTGAAAATAACTACAATTAAATATGGTTGAAACTTCACTCTGACATCAAACAGTCTTTTTATACACGTCGGATGCTCAGATGTACAATTGACTGTTCTAATTAAAATTTTTACTGACGTCAAGTATTATTAGTTACGCTTTTTTTTTGATTTCCAAGATTTTAATTCACATAGAACATCTATAATGACTGGTTTACAATACATTTAAAAAATCCGACAGTTAATATAATTAGAAATTATTATGTTGCCTTAGGAGAAGGCTAACAGTACTATTGTATTAAAATGTTTTTATCAACAACAGATTAGATAATTTAATTTTAATTAAAAAACTGAAGTATCACAAAGTATACATTTATGTTAATATTTCTATTCTTTAATACATATATTATAGAAATGATAGCAGTTTTTTTTTCTAAGTATAAAACATTAATCGCTTTATTAAATTATAAATTAAAATATATCTTTTGATACAATTGTAAAATACATTCTGTAATCGAAGCGTTTATGATCAATGTATATGCTATCCTAACTCGAATGATAAGAGAAAAATTTATAGTCGTCTTTGGTTATGATATATATATATAGAAATACGATACTCAATTATGTATTTCTATATTTCATCTTGATAAATACGGTTTATAAGTATCGATAACAGGAAATATATAAGTGAAGAAAAAATACTATATATACTTATGACTTAACAATGAATACAAAACTATTCTAGAGAAAGTATAGTTGTAATATCATTCCATTATGAAATAACAATAGTAATATTAAATATCTCAGTAAAGATATACATGCTTATGTATCCATAATTACTTGTTCGATGAAGAGCATTAGCAATATGTAGTTTTAAAGTCCTATTAAATACTGGATATAACCAAGAGTTTTTAGTTGAACGCACACTATAAATAAGACGAGACATGGATATATTTAAAATTAAAAATTTTATTATTCAACATTCTTCATTTCTTCACGAAGAATATTTTTGGCACTTCATATTCTATATAAAATAGAAATCGATATCTAAAATTTCTATATATCCACTAGTAGTATTTTATCTAGCAGGGTGGGGCATGGGACATTCTACATTCTCGAAGGTTGCGTTTGTCTCCCCCTGCTCGAAGATAAAACACTGTCCACTAAGATTTTGTGTTAATACAGACAAAAAAAAGGAAGTTGTCTACAAAGAATTATTGATTATTCATATTTGAGTAATCTGAGAACTACTGATATAACTGGCAGAAAATAGGACAATCAATCAATCAATCATCTTTCTTTTCAATTCATATTTTACGTAATAAT